TTGTGATTTAATCATCTAAATAGAACACTGAACTTTAGTAATTTGGGGAAAATTTTTCTATTCAATTGTGTGAACAGTTATATTATTCTAATTAAGTGGATATTAGAGAATAAAGGCATGAGAAAAAGGGTGTCATCATTAAACTTTTTGAGAAAAAAGGAGGAAATATACCAACACCATAAGTCAAATGTCAGAATTTGGTGACACCAAAACCAAGGAGAGTCTAGAGACAGATAACCAGAGTTTAAAGCCACGTAACATACTTCTGAGTTCAGACATAGACAAGAATTTTAAGAAGACGTTATGCATGAGCAACAACTAGAGTGAGAATCAGAAAAAGTAACTGAAGTCCTGGAGGAGAGAAAATGCCAAATATTAGTATCAGTAAGAGTAAAAATTAGATTAATACCTAGCATTTAATTAACTTTTACAACAAGCACATTATCATTCCTAAAATAAAAATTAAAGCATTGCAAGTCAAAAAGTTTAAGAACACAGACAAGAGGTTGCATGAATTCGAGGAAGGGTTGTAAGCGGTGAAACTTCATGCTGAGGACTGTTTTGCTGACATTAATCAAACCTGGCATAGTTCTCAGGCCTCTTTGTTCAGACTGCAGTGTGATAAAACAATTTTTTCTTTCCTTTTTGTTTATTCCTCATGAAGATGTGCATATATTCTTAGGCAGGATGAGAAATCAGTTCATTAAAAACTTACCTATTGACTGCTAATAGAGTCAGCTACAGTACTAAGCATTTTGAACTATTTATGCCAATTAATCCTCATGACTCTGTGACACAGGTAATGTTAGTATTTTTATGCTATAGACAAAAAACCCAAGGTCTTGGGCCATTAATCATCTTAGCCCGGTAATACAAAAATCAAATGTTGGGATTCAGATTCAGTCGTAAGTCGTTTGACCTCAAAGCCCATGTTCTTACCCACTCTGGTAATTACACTATTATTGCACAGGATGGCACAGGAAAAGAAGAAAAATAATCCTTAGTATTAGCGTGGCCATCATTAGTACCTCACATGTTAAGATGCCTATGGTAAAACTCTCTTCCGCAGCAGGGGAATGGATATCAAGCCTGCCTCTAAGATCCCACATAAGCTAAGAACCTTGAGAAAAATGCACACATATGTACACACAAAAATGTTCCATCACATTTTAGAGAGTTATTGGACTCTGAAGGTCAGCTTTAAAATCTCCAATATTAAGGGCCATTTTATGCAAATAAAATTATACATATGGCTATACACACACATATGTACACACACATAGCTTAAATTGATGCTGCTTTTAATAACTATGTTATTAGTAAACTATGTTTTGGAAATAAACTGAAAGGGAACTTGCTAAAATAAGTATTTTCTGGCCTAAAGAAAGACATGGTTAGAATCTGAGCCCTCCGCCATCTAGTGGGTACCTTGAGTCACTTATTGCTTCTCTTTATGCCTGTTGCCTGATTTTTAAAATGGGGGTCCAAACAATAACTAGCCCTGAGGTTTGTCTTAAGCATTCAATGAGCTGGCATTTAGTAGACACTTAGTAGAGGGCCTGTGCAGAGTCAGCTTTCTATATTATGCTATATCCTCCATAAATTTATAAGAATGAGTTTTAATATGGAAAAGAGTACCTTTAACATCTAACACTGTTATTTTCACATTCTCATTGTAACATCTAACATACTGATTGAAACATAGTAGACATTTACTAAGTATTTGCTGATTAAGAAAGAAAAAATATTTGAACATTGCTCTACTTTCAATCATGCATTTAAACAGCTATTGAATTTTTAGAAGCCTTTCCATCATTTCATGGTGCTCACAAATTTCCATACATATTTTTATGTTCCATTGTAGATTAGTAGTATAACTTCAACCTTAAATCCTCATATAATAATATATATAATATGTAATTATTGTATTACCTTCTCCTTTTTCCCTATAATGATATGCTTTTTACTAATTATTCATGCAAATCTCTATTTTTATTATCCGAATGTTTTTCCTGTTTTTTACAGATAGCCAAGCTTATCTATACTTCTGGCTGTGTGTGTGTGTGTGTGTGTGTGTGTGTGTGTGTGTGTGTGTTTTAAATGCCAGAGAAGCTTACATGCAAATGAAGGTAGAATATTTTAATATCTTTCATTGATATGTTATTACCAATCTTGAGATGAAATATCTTTTGTGCATATTCCAAAAGAAGCATAGAAAAAAATCAATCTTTCTCTATGAATGTTACCAAAACCATCAATTAAATGTTCCAGTTAATTCTTACATGTGCATTTTCCTTATCTGAAAATACCAATTGCTTGGTACAGCTTGATCTTCACTGACTGTTCCTTCTTTCTGTTTGTTAAAAATCATTTCTGCTAAGACATGTTTAGATATGCTAAAAAACTAGAAATTCTTACTTTTATAGTTTTTGTTCAATTTTTTTCTTAATAAAATTAAGATGATAATCAAGTTGTTTGACTCTGTTTATATTGTCACAAGATTAATTTTTTACTATATTTTAATATCTCATTAATTAAAGGAGAAATCTAACTGATATATTGAAATTGAAATATTTGTACTATTTGTTATGCCATAAATTCTTTAGTTATGATTAAATAACTGGATTTCTATATCCTAGATCAATAGAATTTTTAAAGTTTATTTTAATAAATAATAAAGCAGGTTACTAGTTTGGTTATTTTTATAAAACATTTAAAATTTAATGTTATTCTTTTATAAATATTTAAATAAGATTATAGGTAAAATGTATTCTTATTTTGAAGTAAAGATAAATTTTTCAGATTAAAATTTAATTAATAGTAAATAGGTCAGTACTTCTCAAACTTTATTGTACATACTAGTCACTATGTGTGCTACAATGCATAGGGTGTCTTGTGAAAATGCAGTTTGATTCATTAGGTCTGGGAGGAGAACACATATGAGGGAGTAAACACACTGAGTATCTTAAGGGTATCTAGTGATGACTCTGATGAAACTTCTTGGACCACATAATTAACATGAAAAATTATTTTACTAAATGTAAGGCAAAGTACTGGTTATGGAAAAAGCGTGAATACTAGGATATTTAGATATAATTTCATTTTCTGCTACTTAGCTAGTTAGTCTCGGATTTTTAGCTTTTCTTAGTTTGCTCTCTCTTAGTATCTTAAACAGTAGTAAGCATTTAAGAAATATTGATTGATTGATTAAGATTTCCAAAGAAATACTCAGCTCCAATGATGGCAATTTCAATTGAATGTAGCAAACACTGAAGACCTACTGAGCTTGAAACGATGGTATACTCAGGGTACCACTGTACACATGAATTATTCCTTTCTGAAAGTTATATAAAAATTATATGAAATATAAATATTGCCATTGACTTATTGCTGCAAAATTTGCTTGGTGGACTTTAGATATCAGCAGACATATCATTTCTGTCATGCGTTTTTTATTGGCCAACAGTCCAGGTTTCTATGTTGCTCAAAATTCATAGTTATTCCTAAATGTTATGGGTTTTCCAAAAGCTTCTCAGATTTACCTCTTCTAATTGAAATCAGATAAAAAGTTTTATTTGGCCAGGAGTTTGCTGAATACTAGAATAGTTTTGTTACTCTGTCAATAATGATATAATTCAATTGTTAATGTAAATTGGGATCTAATACACTAGACATCTCAGATATTAAATAAGACATTAAGTATCTGCTATTGGGGAATACGCTAAGATAATAACTTAAATCTGATTACATGCCATAGAACATTCTAAATTCAGATGTGGCCCCTTCCACTCAGTGATAACAGAATTTGGAATCTGTTACTAATAAAATCCAACATCACAAGCTGGCTTCATACAAATTGTAGTTGGCTGGTATTCTCTGTGTTTCAAATTGAGTAATTAATTATATTAGCTACATTTCGTGTTATACATATATTAGAAACAATGATATGTTTGCAATGGAGCAAATACCATTTTGTTATTGTTAATGAATATGGCATGAATGCAAATTGTCTTGCCTTTCTTGCCTTTACAACTGTTGATAAAGGTTAGTATGTTGTAACTTATTTTGCTACAATCTTGACTACCTACTAATGTTTTTAAAGTGTTGATAACTAAATTTGTGAGATATAAAATGTAGTAGCCTAAAATCGGACAAATGTTTTTGTTTTTTACATTTTTTTTCTGTCTCCTTATTACATTTGATGGCGAATTTTTCAGAAAACAAATCTCGGGTTTTTTTTTTTCTGATTTCAGTGGCATTCTGCTTTAGATTATGCTAGAGTTTCAGAGAAAATTTAATATGGATCATTTTATGAAAGATGGGAACTTCTTTGGCAGATAAACCTCCTTTGTATACTCTATCTTTTAGGAATATTAATATTAATTCATAATTATTCCATGAAACCTTTGTCTTTCTACTCCTTTCTTCCTCTTTTTGATGGGATAGGCCACATACTAAGCATGGTCCTCTGGCCATGGAACCGTATGGATAGTTTCTTCAACTCATCAGCACTGGCAAATACTGTCATGGTTCAATACCCTGTTGTGTGGCCACAGAAAATCCTAAGACAAGCCATGTTTAAAAAGACATAGACTAATTGTGAAAATTGGCTTGCATTTTTCATAAGCCGAGTTTGATTTTCACCAGTAAGTTGACTTTTGAAAATATACATTAAATAGCTGCATTTCTTATTCATCAACCAACTTGACATTATAACCACCAAGGACTGATTTGATTTTTAATATGCTTTGAAATCAACAATGATAATTCAAGTTATAGGTTGATAATCAATATTGTGTCAGAATAAAAGCAAATGCCATTTGCTCTAATATGTAGACTCAGAGATAGCTCACAATTAAGAACAGAATAATAGGAAAGAAATAAATTCACATGATCACATATCCCCATGATTTTAGTTATGTTTTAAAATAAAAATAAGCACTTATGATTTACCAGTGTCGAAGAGCCTTACTTCCATTAATTATATATTTTCTTTTTAGAATATTTCTATTGGAGGATGGCAGCCTGAAAATATACAATGTTACTAGGTCAGATGCTGGATCATATACGTGCATGGCCACAAATCAGTTTGGCACTGCAAAGAACACTGGCAGCCTCATTGTAAAAGGTATCATATCATCTTCATTTGTGCTAGATGAACATTGGAAATATGCATGCATATCATGACTTGTATCACAGTGTCAAACCTGTACCATATTATATATGTGAAATAGTTGATTTCACAATTTATTTAAGAGATCTGTTATCGTACTCATTAATAGGATGCACACTTCGCTAGTAAGATATTATGGTAGATGTGAATACTTTGTCAATAAAAAATGCTGTCAGAGTAGAATTAGAGTTCAAACCTACACCTAAATTATTTGACTTTTTACATATGCCTTAATGTTAGGGGCCATGGACATTTTGATAAAGTCACTGGATAACATTTTTTTGGTTAAATGTCTTTCAAAATCTTTCTTTTTATAGGAAATATTTACACATATATAAGGCTACCAAATATGTAACTGGCCTATTTGTTTATATACCTCTAGGTAAAAAACTAATGAAATGCAGAGTCATGCATATGCTTTGATAAGCAGTTCTTTTCAAAGAGAAAAGAATTACAATCTACTGAGTCATTATTACATTTTCATCATAGTAATCAGATAAGCTCATATAATTTATAGATATATATTCTATACACTATTTTTAAGATTTCTAAATTAGTATCAATCCAAATGTTTCTACATTTATCACCAAGGGACATAATTAATATTAGAAGTATCTATTCCCTATCTTTGCTACTTTATTTCGTTGAATGTCAGCTCAAAAAACTAGTATGTTTACTGGAAGCCATGTCATTTCTATCATTTCATTGCCTCCTGAATGATAAAAATAACTCTCTTGATAAAGCAGTTTGAGCAGCTAATTAAGCCCAAATGATTAAAATCAACGTTTGGTGGTTTCTCATATTTTCCATTAAAAATAAATATATTCAATAAAAAAATAGCTGCTACACTTCAACCATCATTTAAAATATCTGAAGAAAAATAAACACCCACCTTTGAGCCCGCAAGATATTTCTGCCAACTTGTCTCAAGCGTATTACATTATGATGACAATTGTCTGAAATACTCTAGGGAAATGTGACTGATAAAACTTGATGTGTCAAAATCCAACCAGTGTGGCACATTTTGAAAAACTTCACTTTCTTAAGATTGTATTGTCATCAAGTTTTAAGACAGAGATGGACTTAAGGGTTTCAAGGTAGATGCTATGGCTATATTTAAGAACAGACTTTTTCTCCAGCAAATTCTGGGCAATACTCAGACACTGAAAAATGTGAATGCTTTATGTTTGAAAAAGTAACAAGTTCTTTAAGGGGAAGAAAGAGATTTATTATATCATTTCAAATTAAGAAGGTGTAGATAGTACACACTAATTTTATTACAGCAGAAGATTAAAATGTGGTAAAGGATGAAAAGGCATTGGATAAATCTTCTAGGCATAGAAAAATCCAGAGGGCATTAAAATATGAAATAGGAAGGATAGAAAATATCAGCAGTAGCAATGCAGTTTCTAGAAGGAAGTTTCTTTAGAATGTCGGTGATGTGGGAGCAGGGCCAGTGTTTTTGCTGCTAAAATACAATAAAATACAATAATGGGGATCCCTTCGCTCTGGAAGATAAGAAAAACAAAAGTTAACTGGTAGATTAAACTGAATGAAGAGGCTCTCTCCCTCCAGTGTTTCTTAAACCTTTGGCATCATGATACTCACTGTCCACTAATAACTGATGAAAGAAAAATAAAAGGTGACAACTAACAAAAATATTAATGAAGAAACTTGGAAGCCACTGGCTGTGTTCTGGTTTAACATTTACATATTTCAGATGTGTCATAGAGCCATGTTTTCTGCACTAGATTCCTAGTTCTTATGATGGAAATAAGTTTATTTACACTTCAAGTATTCCATAAATCGCACCATAATCCCCAGGTACTCCTTTCTTTCCACAAGTAAAAAAAAAAAAAAATCAAGGTAGCTAAGTTAAAAAAAAAAAAAAAAGAATCCTGACTTATATTTTTTTGTTGTTGTTCATTTCTAGTGTCCTTCGCTGAGGCTGTTGAAACAAAATTATCCCACTCAGCACTCCTTGTTACGTTAGTTAGTTCCACCCTTTCTTCTTCTACATCCCTTTCTATCTTCTTATAAACTATATAACTGACTTATTTATTATGTTTATGGGTTTTTGTTGTTGTTGTTGTTTTCTTTTGTCTTTCCTTCCCTTCTAGAACAGAAGCATAAAGTGGTCAGGGATTTCTGTTTTAATCAATGATGAACCGTAAGTCTTAGAACATTGCTGGAAACAGTGTGTGCCCAGTAAATATTTATTAATTTAGTGAAGTGCTATTATTTTATACAGCTTAGTTCACAGGGATACTTTCCATACTGGCTTCCTTGCTCTAAAACCTGACAGTTTTCAATTTTTTGGAGTCTGAACTTCTTAGGATGCTTTTCAAAAAAGGAACATTGAAGAAAAACAAACTTTTTAAGTGCATTCGCTTTCCAATCATAGGGTTTGAATCTTATATTTTTGACCAACATCATTCTCCTCACTCTCCTAAGAGGGTGCAAGCCTAAACCTTTATTGAAATCCAAAAATTCATGAAGAGAATTCATTGTTCTGCTATTTCTAGCACAGTACAGGAGAATAATTTACATATGCAAAAAGAGTAAGCGTTAAGATAACTGATGTCACTATACATGATTGTCAAGTTACTTTCATACATTTACACCTAATAACAGGAAGGAAATTTTGTTACATTTTAAACTTCATGATATATCCACATCCCATTTTAAGTGGATTTTAGGGTCTTTTGCTTCTTCATCATTAACAAGAACTATCCTGTGCAATACAAACATTTACATACTTAACCACAAAAATACATAAATAAATAAAATAAACACAAAATGTGTGTATTGTATAAATAAAAAGTTTTAGAAACTTTGCTTTATTATTTATTTGTAATGTTTAATCTTTATTAAATTGTGTGACTGTCATACAAACACATTTCTATTATTAGCATGTCCTCTTGACTGATACCTCTAATTTCCTTTTATGTAAAAACGTTGAAGACATCACTGCCAAGGAATTATTTTACAACCTACAAATTTGAAGTTTAGAAAAAATTTTAAGAGTGTATATCAATTCAACCATTTTCTTGCCTATTGGGTGTATAGTCATTTGGTTGTTTGTTAACAACATGGCTTAATAGCTGTATATATGTGTGTGTGTTTTCTCATCAATAATGTTCATCTGACTGTCATTACAGAATCAAATATAATTTTGTTTCTCAAGCCTTAATCAGTGGATAGTGACCTTAACGGTAATAGAGTGTTAAGGCGCAAATGAGAAATTTCAGTAAAGCTGATAAAAACAATCATTTCCCTTTGAATTTACTTATCAGCCTCAGTCATGCAAGAAATGTTGTTGTTAGATAGCATGTAAAAAGATAATAGTTACAAGAGTGAGATGTTTTCCAGCTTAGTTTTTAGCTGCTATGGCTTATCTATGTTAAGAGGATTCTGAAGTTATCTGCACTGTATGTTGGAAATTTCTATTTCACTAATACAGCAGGATAAGGCAATTTTCCATTCAAACAATGTGAGTGCAATTAGCAGCAGCTTTGCCAGCGCCTCAGAAGATGCCCAGTGTAATTTGAGGACATGTTTCATAGGCACAAACGGGGAATCAAGAGGAAAGAGATTTTAAGTGGTTTCATTTTGGAGGACTGAGATTCAAATTACAATGCATATATACACTAAGAGGTATATGAAAATCACATAAAAGGGGAAATTATTTGATCTGGCGTTTGGAAAATTATTAAAAAGCAGAGTAACAGCAGGCTATAAAAATGATCTTGTTTGCAGGCAACATTTGTTTTTGTTTCCCCACTGGAGAAGTTTTGGATGTTCAATTATAGGCCTCATTGCTTCAGTGTTATTTTCAACTGAAACGTCGGAACTTGGAAAAGCATATCTAATGTGCAAATTAAGTTTATTGCTGCTCATTTAGTTGTTTATTCTTTGTGATAGAAGTCTTCATTATATCAGCATTACAGACTGGCCTATCCATTTCCTCCAGCAGAATGAGAGAATTCACTAATACCGGTCTACGTTTACTAAGAGAAATACTCAAGATACTGTAGATAATTGGAGGCTTTGTGGCACTAAAAGGCAGTTTGAAGGATTTGAGGTATCAAGCTCAGCATTATTGAGAAGTCCAGCTTGATTGAGCAAACCAAAAGTACAATTTCAGAGAAATGGCAAGATGCACTGGAATGCATTTGTCGTATTGTAGTACTTGAAAACACCAGAGAAGTCTCTAGTAGCACTAAAATCTCCCCCACAATATTCTATTCCACATGCCACTTTCCTACAAAGAATAACTGAAAGCATTTCAATAGAATAAAGACTTTGATTTAAAAATTATTGATGGTAAAAATTATTTTCAAGATGAGATAATATATAATGAGTTATTATACTGGTCAGATGAAAAATTTTCCTGTTCTAATATTGAAAGTGATGCTGAGTGAATTACTGAAACTTGAATATTATAATCTCTTCAAGTAAAAATGTAAAAACAAGCACAAAACATGCATCAATTTATCAATGTTATCTTGGTCTTCATGACAATTTAGTTCATAGACTTTTTAAAATGTAGAACATGTCACTCAGATTAAATTACCGTATAAATTATACAGCTGTTTTTTTCTTAACGTATATTTTACAAAACATAACATGAAGGATAGATATTAATGCATTATAGGTTTTACCACTTTTTTTTCAAGATACTTTTACTGCATAGTTTAAGCCAGGTGTCCCCAAACTTTTTACACAGGGGGCCAGTTCACTGTCCCTCAGACCGTTGGAGGGCCGCCACATACTGTGCTCCTCTCACTGACCACCAATGAAAGAGGTGCCCCTTCCTGAAGTGTGGCGGGGGGCCGGATAAATGGCCTCAGGGGGGCGCATGCGGCCCCTGGGCCGTAGTTTGGGGATGCCTGGTTTAAGCCTATTATTGGTCAATGTTTTGTTTTGTTTTTATAAAAATAGGGAATGTATAT